CCAACGAAAAATAAAAAATATTCCCCTTTTTCTATCGAATTGATCATAACCACTACCGACATTCCATAAAATAGTACACCACAAATACGAGCTAATACAAAGACCCGCAATTCCGTAGAATGCCATGACTATTCCTTGTGGGAAAAAAAGAATTTGCTGGGCTGGAAAAAATGATATCCAATTTATACCAAGATAACTGGAAGTTCCTACTAATAAGAATCCCAATGAACCTAAAAAAAGGATAAAAGCCCAACCAAAATTACTTATTTTTCTAGACCCAGGTTTAAGTTCGATCCATATATTTTCTGATTGCCAACTCATATTACATCCGATTTTATTTTATTGGAATTAAGAAGAAAACCATTCATTTGGAACTTTGCTATTTAAAAAGTAATTCTCATCAAACAAATAATAGTTTGATGAGAACTAGCACTAGTTTGATGTAAACCTTTAGGGGTAATTCATCAACTTGGTTAGATCTAAAATAATAACGCCTTAAGTAAATACGATTTCACAGCTCTTCCTGTTATGATACAACAAAAGGGCAACTTACAAAAAAGGGAGGACCTCACTATATAAAATATCTAAAAACTATTAGTTTTCTTGAACAGTAATAAATAAATAAAACGTTGCAATTGCCGGCAATACTAAGCCTACTAATGGTATAAAAATAGAGGGAAAGTCACTCATATAAAAGTTATCTTTTTTTACTCTACTATATTGTATCTGTGAGTTTTTCTCTAACTATTTTTATCAATCTAAAATCAATATAAAATAAAGTTCAAATTCATTTGAACTCTGAGTGAAAGAAAGTGCCCCGGTCATGAAACGTAAATAACTCACTAATAACGCTTTTTAGAAGATGACGTGGTACAATTAAGTCAAATGAACCCTTCTCAAATAAAAATTCAGCTTCTTGTGCCTCATCAGGTATGGTTTGTTTTAATGTTTCTTCAATTACTCTTTTGCCTGCAAATGCAATGTAAGCATTAGGTTCGACAATGATAATATCCCCTAACATACCGAAACTCGCTGTTATTCCACCAGTTGTAGGAGATGTAAGGATTGATATATAAAATAATCTTTTATTTGATTGATAATTATATAAAGCAGATGATATTTTAGCCATTTGCATCAAACTTAAACTTCCTTCTTGCATTCGCGCACCTCCGGAAGCCGACACTATAATCAGAGGTAAAAAGTTTTTTGTAGCGTACTCAATTAAACGGGTTATTTTCTCTCCGACTACGGATCCCATACTACCCCCCATAAACTTAAAATCCATAACACCTATTGCTACAGTAATACCGTTGATTTGCCCTAGACCTGTTTGAACAGCTTCGGTTAAGCCTGTTTTTATTTGATAAAAATCAAGATTCTCTTCATAAGAGTTTTCTTTCCATGGAATATTAAATGGAATCGGGTTCTCAGAAAGAATTTCTTCAGAAGAGTCTTCTTTCACTTCTTTCAATGGAATATCAAACGGAATCGGGTCCTCAGAAATCCTTTCTTTAGAAGAGTCTTCTTTCAATAGAATTCCACATTGAATGAGGCACTCAGAAATCATTTCTTTAGAAGAGTCTTCTTTTATTTTGTCCAATATAATTCCACATTGAAGGAGGCACTCAGAAATCATTTGTTTAGAAGAGTCTTCATCAAATGGAATATCAAATTGAATCGGATCCCCAGAAAGAATTTCTTCATCGATAGGAACCCACGTTTTCTCATCGATCAAAAAATCAATTCTATCTGAACTACTCAGTTGCAAATAATCTCCACATTCTTCACAAATATAATGTTTTGATTTAATGAATTTTTTATAATATATTTGATAACAATTATCACATAGAATCCACAAATGGTTAAATTCAGGATATTTTATCCCAATTTCCTCTACGTTAATTTGTCTACTCGAACTCTCGACTTCGCTCCTATTGCAGCTTTCACCATAAACAATGGACTCATTACTGGAACTGTCAGTAACACTCTCATTTTCATTATTAGTGATAGTAGTTGGATCTATTTGTAACTTCATAGAATTATAAATGGACTCAGCAATATCAATCTGAGAGTTATATTCGTTACTCACTTCATTCATTTGAGTGGGATTGCTTGAATTCGAATAAAGATAAAAAGGTTCACTAAAGAAAGAGTGAGCATTATTTGTTTCAAAAATATAATTTTCAATATTAAAAATATTAAAATAGATGCAATAATTATTTCCAGTACTATCGCTAACTAGAAAAGTGTCATCAAAGATGACACTTTCACTATAGTTTAACTCGAAGACAGAATCAACATTACTGCAACTGGAATTGTCACGATCCTCCCAAGTCTGAATGTTTTCAAACATCTCTTGCTTCTTCGTATCTTCATTTTGCCTGCTATTTTCTTCAATAGGACGGTTAACACCATCCATTGATTTAGTTAGGTCCGATCCACGTTCAAATTTCTTATCCAATGAATTATCCCCCCACATTTCCATAATTATTGCCCCTTGTTTTTTGCATGAAAATACAATAGAAAATACACAATAGCAATAGATGGAATAGTCGTTTTATATAACTCTACCTCAATTACCAAGTTTAACTATTTGTTCTCGTCTACCTATACCCAAACCAAATCTAAATAATAAGCTCATTAATATGGATAGATATCCGACGGCTCAATCTGTTTACTTTTTTTAGTATTTGAATGATTTTAGTAAAAGATTGGGCCAAATTGAATTGCAATTCAGAAGAGAAGGGGGTTAGTGATTGCTTAAATTCCCTCTACCCATCCCTTATCTCCGAATTAAGTTATAAGTTATCTCTATTTATCTCCTGCAAGAGCCTCCTTATTATCTCTTTCTTTCTTCTCATTTGGATCCAAGGTATCCACTGGTTTAAAGTCAAATTGAATCTCCTTCCATACCTCACAAGCAGCAGCTAGTTCAGGGCTCCATTTACTAGCCTGTCGAAGAATTTCATTACCTTCCTGAGCAAGATCATGCCCTTCGTTACGAGCTTGTACACATGCTTCTAGAGCGACTCGATTCGCTACGGCACCAGGCGCATTACCCCAAGGGTGACCTAAAGTTCCTCCCCCAAACTGTAGTACGGAATCATCCCCAAATATCTCAGTTAGAGCAGGCATATGCCAAACGTGAATACCCCCAGAAGCCACAGGCATAACACCGGGTAAAGAAACCCAATCTTGAGTGAAATAAATACCACGACTTCGGTCTTGTTCAACAAAATCATCGCGTAATAAGTCAACAAAGCCCAAAGTCATCTCTCTTTCCCCTTCTAGTTTACCTACTACAGTACCCGCGTGAATATGATCTCCACCGGATAGCCGTAACGCTTTCGCTAGTACGCGGAAGTGTATACCATGAGTTTTTTGTCTATCAATAACTGCATGCATTGCACGGTGGATGTGAAGAAGGAGACCATTATCACGGCAATAATGAGCCAAAGAAGTATTTGCAGTGAATCCCCCTGTTAAGTAGTCATGCATTATAATAGGAACTCCCAATTCTTTAGCAAAGAAAGCTCTTTTTAGCATTTCTTCGCATGTACCTGCAGTAACATTCAAGTAATGTCCTTTTATTTCACCTGTTTCAGCCTGTGATTTATAAATTGCTTCGGCACAAAATAAAAAACGGTCTCTCCAACGCATAAAGGGTTGTGAGTTTACATTCTCATCATCTTTGGTAAAATCAAGTCCACCACGAAGACATTCATAAACCGCTCGACCGTAGTTTTTAGCGGATAACCCCAATTTGGGTTTAATAGTACATCCCAGCAGAGGACGCCCATACTTGTTCAATTTATCTCTCTCAACTTGGATGCCGTGAGGCGGACCTTGAAAAGTTTTAGTATAAGCTGGAGGTATTCTAAGATCTTCGAGACGTAAAGCGCGGAGTGCTTTAAACCCAAATACATTACCTACAATCGAAGTAAACATATTCGTAACAGAACCTTCTTCAAAAAGGTCTAAAGGGTAAGCTACATAAGCAATATATTGATCTTTTTCTCCAATAACACGCTCAATGCGATAGCATCGGCCCTTGTACCGATCAAGGCTGGTAAGTCCATCGGTCCACACGGTTGTCCATGTTCCAGTAGAAGATTCCGCAGCTACCGCGGCCCCCGCTTCTTCAGGGGGAACTCCGGGCTGAGGAGTGACTCGAAATGCTGCCAAGATATCAGTATCTTTGGTTTCGTAATGAGGAGTATAATAAGTCAATTTGTAATCTTTCACACCGGCTTTGAATCCAACACGTGCTTTAGTCTCTGTTTGTGGTGACATATATTCCTCCTTATAACTCATAAATTCATAATTCTGACAACAAAACGATCTACTCGACCTAAATTATGCGTGAATTTTGCTTTTGGTCGGAATCGTTCACAAAATTCCCCCCGAGTACTCAATATTATCTATTATCAACTAAATCCTAATTTTTTATTTTTAAACTAAAAGCATTTGAGTCATTTTTCAAATGCATCAATATTGTATACTCTTTTGTATATCTAGTGCAACCCAGTTTTTCAATTTCACTTTTTTTACACTACCTCTCTAACTTAATAAAAAAATTAAAAAAACTAATGGGATAGAAATAAAAAATTCTAATGAAATACTTTCCCAATATTTTTATTCCTCCACTTTAAAATGATTTACCTATTTTAGTTCCTTCATTCGACAAAAATTAAATTGATTGGATACTGGATAATATCTGGATAATATAAAAAAAGACAGCGAGAATCCCCCCTTTTTTCTTATTACATTTATTGAATTAATCTTGCGCTTGCGGACAGTTATTTGTAATTTGAAAAGTTTTGTAAATTTTTTTTTTATGGGAAGCACTCCTACGACTTATGGTTCTGAGGTTTCCTCAATTGAAAAAAAAAATATAGGACATATCGTCCAAATAATTGGTCCGGTACTAGATGTAGCTTTTCGCCCTGGCAAGATGCCTTATATTTATAATGCTCTAGTAGTTCAAGGGCAAGCCAGTAAACAAATGAACGTGACTTGTGAGGTTCAGCAATTATTGGGAAATAATCGAGTTCGAGCTGTAGCTATGAGTGATACAGATGGTCTAATGAGAGGGATGGAAGTGATTGATACGGGAGCTCCTATAAGTGTCCCGGTCGGTGGATCAACTCTGGGACGAATTTTCAACGTGCTCGGAGAACCTGTTGATAATTTAGGGCCTGTCGATACTAATAAAAAATCTCCTATTCATAGATCTGCGCCCGCCTTTATACAGTTAGATACAAAATTATCGATTTTTGAAACAGGAATTAAAGTAGTAGATCTTTTAGCCCCCTATCGCTGTGGAGGAAAAATCGGACTATTCGGGGGAGCTGGAGTGGGGAGAAAACAGTACTCATTATGGAATTAATTAACAATATTGCCAAAGCGCACGGAGGAGTATCCGTATTTGGCGGAGTGGGTGAACGTACTCGCGAAGGAAATGATCTTTATGTGGAAATGAAAGAATCCGGAGTAATTAATGACCAAAATATTGCAGAATCAAAAGTGGCCCTAGTTTACGGTCAGATGAATGAACCACCAGGAGCTCGTATGAGAGTTGGTTTGACTGCCCTAACTATGGCGGAATATTTCCGAGATGTTAATGGGCAAGATGTACTTCTATTTATTGATAATATATTTCGTTTCGTTCAAGCGGGATCAGAAGTATCCGCCTTACTGGGTAGAATGCCTTCTGCTGTAGGTTATCAACCGACCTTGAGTACAGAAATGGGTTCTTTGCAAGAAAGAATTACTTCCACCAAAGAGGGTTCCATAACCTCGATACAAGCAGTTTATGTACCTGCAGATGATTTGACTGATCCTGCCCCTGCTACGACATTTGCACATTTAGATGCAACTACCGTACTCTCAAGAGGTTTAGCTGCTAAAGGTATCTATCCAGCAGTTGATCCTTTAGATTCAACGTCAATGATGCTGCAACCTCGGATCGTTGGTGAGGAACATTATGAAACTGCGCAACGAGTCAAGCAAACTTTACAACGTTATAAAGAACTTCAGGACATTATAGCTATTCTTGGGCTCGACGAATTATCCGAAGAAGATCGTTTAAACGTGGCAAGAGCGCGAAAAATTGAGCGTTTCTTATCACAACCTTTTTTCGTAGCAGAAATATTTACCGGTTCTCCAGGTAAATATGTAGGTCTCGCTGAAACAATTAGAGGATTTCTTTTAATCCTTGCTGGCGAATTAGATGGTCTTCCTGAACAGGCTTTTTATTTGGTAGGGAATATCAATGAAGTTACCGCGAAGGCAATTCACTTAAAAAAGTAGAAATTTAAAAATAGGGAAGGATTTGAATAAATGACTTTAAAACTTTGTGTACTGACCCCTAATAGAATTGTTTGGGATTCAGATGTGGAAGAAATCATTTTATCCACTAATAGTGGGCAAATTGGAATATTACCCAATCACACACCTATTGCCACAGCTGTAGATATAGGTATTTTGAAAATACGCCTTAACGGCCAATGGTTAACGACGGCACTGATGGGGGGGTTTGCTCGAATAGCGAATAATGAAATCACTGTTTTGGTAAATGATGCTGAAAAAGGTAGTGAGATTGATCCCCAAGAAGCTCAGCAAACTCTTAAAATAGCAAAAGATATTTTAAAAAAAGCTGGAGGAAAGAGACAAAAAATTGAGGCAAATCTAGCTCTACGCCGAGCTCAAACACGGATAAAGGCGATCCATAATATTTCCTAAAAAGCCGCTCTTTTAAAAATACATGAATCTATATTCAAAAGGATAGGTCACAAACTTATTAGATATCTCAGTGGATGGTATCTAATAAGTTGTTCTACCTACTATTGGATTTGAACCAATGACTCCCGCCGTATGAAAGCAGTACTCTAAACCGCTGAGTTAAGTAGATATTTTTATATGCTTCAGAAAATACAATAAAATCCCGCCCATCAATAGAAATTCAATGTATTATAAATATTCTATTCCGAATAAGGAATGTCACTCAAACTTTTCAAATATTTTGGTTTGGATATTTTTATATTTTTCATATAATATACATAGATAATATAAATAGATAATAAGTATAATCACTAATCATTAATCATTCATTAATATAATAATCATAATAATGTGAATTAATCTTGACAATAAATTATTTACATCACAAAATCGTAACTACTAAAGGAAATAAATTTTGAAAAGAATTTTTTTTTTTATTTTTTTAGAAAGGAAGCAAAATTTTGATTAAGATAGTTGTAAGTTCCGATGTGAGTCAATTGCTACTATGATTTCAAAAAGCGATTTTCCATATGGAAAAGCCAGCTATCGGAATCGAACCGATGACCATCGCATTACAAATGCGATGCTCTAACCCCTGAGCTAAGCAGGCCGAACTTGAATATACACGATAATTCAATAAAAAAAAAAGAAAAAAACGTGGGAAGATTTCATTCTTATTTAGAATGAGTAAACAAAAAAGAAATTTATTTGAATCTTTGAATGTACTTTATTTTTTAGCTAGCTAAAAAATAAAAGAAGAGAAAAAACTCTCTGATGAATGCTAATGAATGGAATGTTTGAAGCTAAATGAAATAAATGAGTACACGAGATGCCTCCCCATACGGGGGATCAACATAAAAAAAGGGGATATGGCGAAATTGGTAGACGCTACGGACTTAATTAGATTGGGCCTTGGTATAGAAACTTACTAAGTGATGACTTTCAAATTCAGGGGAACCCTGGAATTAATAAAAGGGGCAATCCTGATCCAAATCCTTTTGAAAAAACTTAAAGGATAGGTGCAGAGACTCAACGGAAGCTATTCTAACAAAGGGATTTGACTAAACTAACTACTTTAATATTCATTGAATTTATTGAATCATTAATTCCATAATAGATTCTGAAATTTCGATTTTACGAACCAAACTTCTGAATGGGACAAGAATAAAGAGAGAGTCCTTTTCTACATGTAAATACATACAAAAATGAAAGTTTTAGTAAGAGGAAAATCCGTCGACTTTAAAAATCGTGAGGGTTCAAGTCCCTCTATCCCCAAAAACCTAGTAGATTCCTATCCTTATCCCCTCCCTTTGTCTTTTTAGTGGTGGTTTTTTGTGGTTGTTTAAAGTGAAAACTAAAGTCTAAAGGTCCTTTTATTATTTTATTATAAGTTCTAATAAGTCTTATTCCTGTGAGCGATTTGAATACTTGAATTCAAAAGTAACATATTTGAGTTTTGAAGTGAAAATAAAACTCAATTTTAGGACTTTTCTAAAAGTTTGTAATCCGCTTTTTATCTTTTCATTGCATTGATATTGATATAGAATTGTAGAATGTAGAATTGATATAGATATAGATATATATCCCACGACCTAATCAAATGAGTATCTATCTTGGGAATGGGTCGGGATAGCTCAGCTGGTAGAGCAGAGGACTGAAAATCCTCGTGTCACCAGTTCAAATCTGGTTCCTGGCATACGATTTCTTTATCTATCAAATATCATATATATAACATAAAAAAAAGAGATGGGTAGAGTTTCGTAAGGTTCTATTAAGGTTTTATATTGCTATTTCTTCTTTTTATTCAATTTGAACATTTCAATATCAAACGTTATATAGAAAATAGGGTTTCCGTTTATCATCCATATTAGTATTTAAATTTATGTTTATATTAAATTTATATTAAAATATATCTATTCTAAATATTTCCGTTAAAATCCATATGAAATATTATATATGAATATAAAATATATGATATATGATCTAGATAGGTTAAATATGAAATTAAATATTTAATAGGTGGTTCTTTTCAAGTTAAAAAAGCATAGCTCAAATCTGAAATCAGAAACATAATAAAAAAAAAGGCTTTATTTATATTAAGATTTATCTTAAGGAGATATTACGATGAACAATTGGGAGGATAACTTTTGGATTGTTGAACAGAGAGCGATACTTAGAAATAGACTGATAGTGACACTAAGAAAGTTAATTCTAGTGATAATAGGAGAGAAGATAGTGATAGAGATAATGACACAGATAATTCTAGAGCGACGAGGGAGGGGACTTATAGAAATTAAAAATAAAGCATCATAATAGAATATCAGAGTACACAGCAACAATACATATGTATTGAAATACTAAACAATAATAAAAAAAAGGAGTATTTATGTCGCGTTATCGGGGACCTCGTTTCAAAAAAATACGCCGTCTTGGGGCTTTACCAGGGCTAACTAATAAAAAGCCTAGCGATATACGGGATCTTCGAAACCAATCTCGTTCCGTGAAAAAATCTCAATATCGTATTCGCCTAGAAGAAAAACAAAAATTGCGTTTTCATTATGGTCTTACAGAACGTCAGTTAATTAACTACGTTCGGATTGCCGGAAAAGCCAAGGGGTCCACAGGGGAAGTTTTACTCCAATTACTTGAAATGCGTTTGGATAACATACTTTTTAGATTGGGTATGGCTTCTACTATTCCTGCAGCTCGTCAATTAGTTAACCATCGACATATTTTAGTGAATGATCGTATAGTCAATATACCCAGTTATCGCTGCAAACCTCGAGATATTATTACGCCGAAGAATAACCAAAAATCAGTAGGAGATCTTTTTCAAAATTATCACGAGGAATTACCAAACCATTTAACCATTCACCCAGCGCCGTATAAAGGCTTAGTAAATAACATAATAGATACTAAATCGGTCGGTTTGAAGATAAATGAATTGCTAGTCGTAGAATATTATTCTCGTCAGACTTAAATCTAACGAACATAATAGAGGTTACTCCAACTTTTTTCGGGAAACTCAATTTACTTAAAGTGAACTAAGATAAATCCGGGTTTGATGCTACTTTATTAAAGCTCTGTCTCAGAGATAAAGAGCCAAGGGATCACTAGATTCATTGCTAGGGTTGAATCCTTTGGTGATAGTCAATTCGGTAAATTGACTTAAGGTACGGAAAGAGAGGGATTCGAACCCTCGGTAAACACAAGCCTACATAGCAGTTCCAATGCTACGCCTTTAAACCACTCGGCCATCTTTCCTATATAAATAGTATGTCTAAAAGTCTAAAAATACGAGTGAGTAGCGAGTATTTTATATTCCTTATTTTTAATTTTTAGGATTATTAGATTATATGACCAATATATCAAGTCAAAGCAAATTTTGAACAAAATTTGTTTTGAAAAAAAAAGACTCAGATTTAGAAAACCAAGGTTTTCTTCTGTATCTTGTTAGTGAGTTTATTTTCATCCTAGAAAGATTTTTCTAGATTTTATTTTTCAATATATTTTATGTTATTTTGTACTATCGTATTTGTACTCTAAAATTCTGTTTATGTGGGCCCACACGAGCAGAATAA